AGTCCTTTATATCTTCCCATATCTAGATGCTATCTCTTTGGGTCATTCATGACCAACACACCCACCTTCCTTCACCCCCAAAATGTTATCAGTAGTCCACCATACAATGAGTTCTTTATATCATAATCACGTATGACTTCCTAGTAGACTAGTACTTCCTGAGAGCAGAATTCATGCCTGGCCCATCTTCACATCCCTAGAGACTGTCACAGTGCCTGGCACATAGTAGGCCCTCAATACTTATTTAACAAATGGCTATTTAAAAAATGGTAATTCTGTACAAACTTTCTGTTTGGAAAGCTTCTCATTTATCAAACATAATTAACTGTAACCAGATATCAACTTATTGGCCTCCCATCAGAAGCAAAGCATTTCCATTATCTAAGGATGTGGTACTGGCAAAAGGCAATGGTTAGGGCTGATAAACTGGGGACAATGAAAAAACATTTGAAAACCACAGCTGGGGGGAACTCCCTATTTACTGTAGGAAAGGAGAATGATCTGAAAGAAGACATTTCCCCCAGTTTTTCATGAGGGAATGTAGAAGAGAAGAAAGAAGAATTAGGGGGAAAAAAAAAGCGCCAAGTTTGTGTAAACCACCAATATTGTTCGAATCTTAATACTTTTCCTGGACATAAGACTGGTTAAACTTCTAAGACCCTTCTATTTCCCTTTCATGAGTTCTTCTCTGTAGTTTAAGAACACACAATTTTGGAATGAATTTTCTAATGCGCATAGCCCAGCTGATAGTCCACAGTCACCCTTTATGGTCAATGGAGCTTATTCAGAAATCAAGATTCATGCGAGCCCATTTTCAAATGAAAATTAATATCCACAAAAATGCACACTGTTTCCCAAGCATCACCTTTCCTTCCATTTCCTGGTGTTTTCACACATTTTAAACCCCCTCCCAACATGCAAGTCACAAGGAAAGTGCCGTGAGGTCCAGAAATAAGAGAAGAGGGCTTCTTTTTCTTGTGGGTTATGACCACAGCACCTATAACAACCCACTCTGCACAGGCTGGCAGGAGTGAGGGCAGGACCTGGAGCTTATCCTGGGGCAGGCCCCAAGACACCACCGTAAAGCATGTGGCCCATTGTGAATGCTCGGTAAGTGTAGCTTCATTACTCTAATATCTCTGTCCTCCTTTGAGCTTCTCTCTCAAGTGTCCAAGGGGATATTCACCAAACACACTGCCTTCTAAAGCCACCATCTGCTTCCTCATGCTACTGAGTTTGATTTGGGTCTACTCAGGGTTTCCAAGGGGAATGGGCAGACATGTGCCTAATTTGGGAACATCTCTGTCACCATCATTACAAGGGGGAATGTAGGTGGATCAGGTATCTATCCTGAATCCTCTTTGGCTACATCACAAACCTAATTTTCTGTAATCCTCACTGCCACCTCATGGAATAGATGATGTTGTACCCATTTTACAGATGGGGAATAGTTTGGAGAAATGAAATACATTACTCAATAGCACATACTTATTAAATACAGGAGCCCACATTAAAATCTGGGGGTGCTGGATTCCAAAGTCCAGGCTACTTCTGCCCTGCCAAACTCCTCCTCCCCCGGCAGGTCTCCACAGACATGGGCAGCAGGCTGAGCAGCTAAAACCACAGGGCACAGAGCAAATGGGAGGCAGAGACAGGACTGGCACCACCCTCTAATTCCTAGTCTGTATTCTCTGCACCCAACTGCCCAGTCTCTCCTGGTTGGGACTTCCCAGCACCCACATGTCCTGGCCTTGTAGGTGACTGTTAATTTCTACTTACAGAGTAAAACAGAAAAAGAGGTAGGCCTCAGGGATGAGCCCTCCTCCTAAACCATAGCTGGACTGGCCTTTTCTCTCTTAGTCTCTTTCCTGCTCTAATTTGTGTTCAAAACCATCCATCAGGGCAGATCTTTTTCAAATGCAAGCCTGGCCATCACATTCCCCTGGTCAAAACCTTCTGCAGCTTTCCACTTCTTTCAACATAAACTCTACCCACCTCACCTGGGCATGAAAGGGTCTTCATGCCTTGCCCCACCCTGACCTGTCAGACCAGTTGCATCTGCCATCTGTCTATTTTTTAGTCATTTCCTGAAATTTATGAAGGCCATATTTTCAATGGCTTTGGCAATTTTTTACTTATGCATGGAATGCTCACTCCTTCCATTTTAGCCTGGAGACATCCTCTGCTTTTTTCAAGGATCAGCTCCTATGATCTCTTCAGAGAAGACCACCCCCTACTTGTGGCCTCTCGTCACTTGTACCCAGACCATGTCTCCACCACAGCACTCAACACTTTGTATCCCAAGCAAGAGTATGCATGTCCATCTCCTCCAGGGATGTGTGTTAGCATCTCTGAGAACCTCATGACATGCAGTACAGTGCCTCTGTCAGCGAACATTTGTTGATTAACTAGATTCAACACCCATTTCCATAGAGATGTGGCAATGTACTGGTTTTATTTACAGAAAGCCAGGGCTGGTTGTAGTGTTTTTAATTTTTTTTTATTTTTAATTTTTTTAATGAACTAAATTCCATATTTTCTAGTTTTGAATGTTTAACCGTGTTAGCATCTCTGAGAACCTCATGACATGCAGTACAGTGCCTCTGTCAGCGAACATTTGTTGACTAACTAGATTCAACACCCATTTCCATAGAGATGTGGCAATATACTGGTTTTATTTACAGAAAGCCAGGGCTGGTTGTAGTGTTTTTTATTTTTAATTTTTTTAATGAACTAAATTCCATATTTTCTAGTTTTGAATGTTTAACTGTCCTAGGAAGAGCTGGATAACTATTCAGTTAAAATTGAGCTGAAGAGCTTTATCTCAAAGGTAGCCTTTGAACCAGTCTCATTACAGTCCTGCTGGGGTGATATGCTTGTGCCTTAAATGTGCTATTTTCTTCAGGTGCTCTGTATGCTACTGGAAAGCCCTCTAAATTGAATCCATACTCTTTAAGACTATCTTTATTTTTGTTTCATTAATAGCCCTCTTGGAAGTCTCCAGTAGCCCCATCAAAAGAAGTGAGTTTCTCATCCAAAGCCAAAGACCAGGAGTAAGTCAGATTCTACTTGGAGTTAGTGTCTGATTCCTAACTGCAGCACATGCCGTTTACCTTTCTTTGACTTCATGCAAACCATCAAATGATGAACCAGCCCAGCCTCTTAGGGCACACAGACACATCTCACTTTAGCTAACAGGAAAAAGTGCATGTAAACAATGCTTGGGCAAACATTTCTGATGCACCAGAAAGAAGGGACCATCTGTATCAGAGGATGCATTTGGTCCTCTGGAAACTCATCACCTGCCCGAAAGTCATGTTTTCTACAGCCGAGAGTATATCACATCTGGACATTAACCCTCAGTGTGACAGCCTAGCCCATACTTGGGTCTGACCAAAAAGACAGGGATGAGCCCCAGGTCTGGCTAGCCTCTTCTGGAGCCCCTACTCCTGTCACTGCCTCCCCAGGTCCCTCTGACTGAAAAGGATGAGATCTAATAGAAAATACCAGGAAAACTTTGAAAGTGTGAAGGGGCATAGGGAGCTGGAGCTGGGGCCTCAACAGCCACAGGCAGATGGTATTCCCTCTCTTGCCCAAAATGTCCCCTCCCCTACCTTGGGATCCTTTATCTTCCAAAAGGTAGAAAGGGAGAGACATACCAGGGTACTTCAAAAGTTTGTGGAAAGATTCATAATATCTTTTAATCCAATTTTTTCATGAATTTTTTGCTGTATCCTTGTATAGAGGGAGAGAACCATAAGATAGAAACTGAATATATTTTCTGCTTCTAGTTCTTAAGTTTTAAGAACTGTCGAGTTGAGCCAGTTTTGCTTTTTACAAATATCCATTTACCTTAGTTCTCTGCCATTTAAAGTTATTAAGTCAAGTTGTATTATATAGGTCTATAGTTCTTTGGTTTTACTTTGGGTCAATAGCTAAGGACTGGGGGGAGGGGAAGACCTCTGCCCCACAGAAATGGGCTAGTTAAGGTAATCTCCCTTGGAAATGCCTCGTAAAAATAACCCTGAAGCAGCTAGTCCAACTGTTAACAGAGTGCTGGTGGAAAGTTAGATTCTCATATATTGGGTTTGTTGACAGTGATAACTCAATAAACTAGGAATCCTCTTTCCTAGAAGTTCATGACAACAAGTTGTAGATGCAGGTTTCTTTGCTTAAACTGTGTTAAATTTAGCAGATTTCAGAAAGGTGGCAGTCATTTCCCTAATTTTCTGGTGTTTGTGACACCCAAGGCCAGAATCCACCTTAACACTGGAAAGGAGAGAAAGGGGGACACGATCACTTCACGTCTTAGCAGATTTCAGAAAGGTGGCAGTCATTTCCCTAATTTTCTGGTGTGTGTGACAACCAAGGCCAGAATCCACCTTAACACTGGAAAGGAGAGAAAGGGGGACACGATCACTTCACGTCATAGAAACTGAATATATTTTCTGCTTCTAGTTCTTAAGTTTTAAGAACTGTCGAGTTGAGCCATTTTTGCTTTTTACAAATATCCATTTACCTTAGTTCTCTGCCATTTAAAGTTATTAAGTCAAGTTGTATTATACAGGTCTATAGTTCTTTGGTTTTACTTTGGGTCAATAGCTAAGGACTGGGGGGAGGGGAAGACCTCTGCCCCACAGAAATGGGCTAGTTAAGGTAATCTCCCTTGGAAATGCCTCGTAAAAATAACCCTGAAGCAGCTAGTCCAACTGTTAACAGAGTGCTGGTGGAAAGTTAGATTCTCATATATTGGGTTTGTTGACAGTGATAACTCAATAAACTAGGAATCCTCTTTCCTAGAAGTTCATGACAACAAGTTGTAGATGCAGGTTTCTTTGCTTAAACTGTGTTAAACTTAGCAGATTTCAGAAAGGTGGCAGTCATTTCCCTAATTTTCTGGTGTGTGTGACAACCAAGGCCAGAATCCACCTTAACACTGGAAAGGAGAGAAAGGGGGACACGATCACTTCACGTTGGGGTTTTGGCAGGGTAGTACTTACCTGTGATCATGCTCAGTGCTGACAGGCAGGCTAAGGCTTGGATATCAAGGTTCAGGCTCTGCAAATTTAAGGAAAAGTCTTTAATGGAGTCGAGCCACTCCCCAAATCCACGAAGGCACTGAAGTCGATGCAGGACAAGTCCATTGCAGAACACAAACTTATCTTCAGCAGTGTTTGACCTGGGGGGTGGGGAGGAGAGACACATTAAACAGGTCTGTCCAGTCTGTCCAACATTTTAAATCATAACACACAGGCAACCAGACAGCCATGGGACAGTATTTAGAACCCAACGTGGTGCTGGGAAGCATGCCCAGACACTCATGATGGACAAGACCATGTTCCTGGGGATCAACAACCACACTACTTGTCTGTGCTAACATCCTTGGTGAGCAGCAGAACGGGGGAGGATGAGGCATGTGGCACCTTACTTCTAGAATCAGTTGCTGACTTGCTCTAGGACAGGACATGGAGGAGCAGGTACTGATGGACTACGGAGGGGAAGCCCAGTGCCCCGCCTCTTTCTGCAATGAACAGGAGACTGTTCCAGTCAGGGCTCCTTATTTTCTTAAATGTCAAAAACTGACTGGGCCCAAGGCTAGCCACTACAATTTCATTGTGCAGACTCTAAAAACACCAAGTCCCTGCAAGTGCCAGAAATCAAGCACAAACTAAAAAGTAGCCTAATGTAAAATGTAAAACGAGTTTTTATTTTTTGTTACCTTCTCTGCTTTTAATAGTGGAGCTGTGGAGGACTATTTCTTAAATCTGCCCTTATAGTTTAGATTATGTCCACAATCATCTTGTTCTTTTTATCATTTAGGGGTGTGGCCCTGGGCACTCCCTTAACCTCTCTGGACTTCCTTTTCCTTATCTATTGCTACCTCCTAAGACTGTTGAGGGAATTAAATAAAAGATTTGAAATCCCACCCACAGTGCCCAGTATACAGGAGGATTAGGTATAACTAATTTTGAATTCTGTATGGTCCTTACTTTAATCTTAGCTTTCCTTTAACTTTCAAATCTCGTGCCATATATTTATCGATCATGGCCTATTGCATTCACAAGTCATTATCTCTTTAACTGCACTTGTTGAACAAATAGCTTTATTCATACCTTCACTCAGCAAGTACTTACTGAGCACCAAATATGTGCCATTCCCGGAGCCAGGCACTGGGGAAACAGAACATATTTGGTGTCTGCCTGCATGGAGCTTATCATCTTTTTAATCCTTTGCTGTGTGCCCAATAGACAACGTGCAGCTGGCCGAACTCTGCTATACACCGATGGGCTGTAAATTAAGCTCATTACTGGCACTCTAGTTGTAATTTCACCACAGAAAACACACACAGGACAGAATTCAATCCCAGAGTTTAAAGCATGGATCTCCGATTGCCGGCATAGGAATTGCCAGACCATGAGTTAAAAATGCAGATTTCTGGACTTCTTCCAAAGTCTACCAAACCATAATAGATAGGATGAGGCATGGGAACCTTCACTTTAAGTAGGAGTTTCTTGTAACACAGAATTAAACTGGGGAGGAGGTGGTAGGGAAGAGAAAGAGGAGAAAGATGATGATTTTTCTTGTGATATTTGCTGAAATATTGGTACCATCTCCTAAAAATATATAACTGAAAGGAAGTAAAGAAGATGGAATTAAACATGGTATGTGTGAATAAAAACAGTAATAAAGTTTTTTTAAAAAGCTACACACAGAATTTATGAAAGGAGCTTAGATCCTAAGTTCTAGTTTTTTGAAAAATCACTTCCTCTTTTGGTGTCACTGAGTATGACAGGTTGGACCAAATCTTTTGATTCAGGAGCTGTTCCCTTGGAGTGAACACTGGGGATTGAGAAGCTGTGGGAACTCTTTGAGCCCCATGAGGTGCATTAGAACAGTAACTTGTTAAACAGAAACTCAAGAGCTAAATGCAATGTTCCAAAGCAAATGCTTGCTCCCAGAGAATACCTGTGCACCATGAGAATCTTCCTAGAATCAGAGAATGTTGGAGCTACAGGGGGACCTCAGAGATCACCAAATCCAACCTCCTCATTTTACAAAGGAGGGAGCTGAGTTTCTGGTGATGGAAATGACTTTCTCAGGTCTTACGGCAAGTCCATGTTAGAACTGGGAGTACAATCCAGGGGTCCTGGCTGCCTGTCCAGTGTTCTTTCCATTGCCTACCGCTCATTTTTTTTTTTTTTTTAACATTGATGATTCCAAGACAAACACAGAAAGTTTCAGACTTGTTCAAAGGAAGGAGTAGATTGAAGGAAGATAAAATAATAGTAATTACCTGATGGAAAGTCTGAGAACAAACAGCTCCAAAAAGGCTGATTCTATAAGTAATGTCTGATCTTCTTTGGGGAGATCAGTAAATCCTGGGATCTTTTCTGCCCAGCTTCTGGATACATCAATGGAGGCTGTCAGAAGGTTGTAGAACTGTTGCACATGCTCAGCATCCGTGCCTGCAGAGGCCTGGTCAGTGGGGCAGTACTAGAATGCAAAGCAGAGAGAGCTGCATTACCCTGACTCAGTGGAGATCACAGCATCATTTGCAAATTGGTTCTTCCAAGACTATCAGTGCCTAAATCCTTACTTTTAGGTCCCACAGTTTATAAAACCCTTTTGCATTCACAGTCTCATCTGAGTCTCACATTGGCTCTGTGATGTAAATAAAGCAAATTTTATTGTTATCACTTAATAGGCAAAGAAATTTTCTTAAGTCCTATTAGTGCAGTGGTTTTCAACCTTGACTGTGCACTGCAATCATCTGGGAGCTTCTGAAAATACTATTGTCTGTGTCCTACCCCCAGCGATTCTAATTTAATCAGTCTGGGGTGATTCGGTGCAGTGGTTTTCAACCTTGACTGTGCACTGCAATCATCTGGGAGCTTCAGAAAATACTATTGTCTGTGTCCTACCCCCAGCGATTCTAATTTAATCAGTCTGGGGTGATTCCAAAGATCAACGCTCACTGAGACCTACTGCCCCAGGGGCTTTTGTCTGACTGGGCCTCCAGAGTGTACTGATTCTACTATAGCATAGTGATCTCCCAACAAATGCTAAATTAACTCAGTGGTTCTCAAAGTATGGTCTCTGGACTGGCAGCATCTGCGAATGTGCTAGAAATGACAATCTCAGGTCCCACCCCAGACCTACCAAATCAGAAACTCCCAACTCCATTTGCTGGGATGGGCCCAGCAAACTGTTTTATCAAGACCTCCAGGTGATTCCCAAGCACACTGAAGTTTAAGAATCACAGGATTAACCATTGGGGGAAAAGAATGATTTTTGCTTGTTGGTGATGGATTTCTGTGAGATAAAACAAACCAGGAAGTGGGGGGAGAGAGCGTTTCGTTGACAGAGCCCAAGCACCTGTGTGACATCAGACTTAGGACTTGTGACTACTTATATTAATAGAAATTAACTAAAATTTAAAATTTAGTTCCTTAGTCACACTAGCCATATTTTCAAGTGCTCAATAGCGAAATGTAGTGTAGAACATTTCCGTCACTGCAGAAAAGTTCTGATCAGCATTGATCTAGAGAATCCCAGGAGGAGAAAGGTACAGGTAGGAATAAAGTCTCTACCCAGCTTTTGGATATTCTGGTGGAACTGGCTTTCTAAGATTCTATAACAAGAGATCCATTTCAGAGCCTTGGCTCCTCTGCTCCCAACAATACCACGCAGTGCCCAGTATTCTATGAAGGCCTGGATATTCTGTGACTTAATAGACCATGGGAGCAAAGCCCAGGAGAAGGAAGCAGTCCTCCTTCCCACAGATATTAGAGGATGGTGACATGATCCTATGTCATAGACACTTCCCACCACCTCCTTTCAGTTAATCCCATATCTTTTCTAAGGGCAGGATGAAATTCAGAGCAGAACTCCTTTTAAAAAGCTGACAGCACTACATATGAAACTCCTGCGTGGCAATAATATGGAGTAGAGGAAAGTACGTTGGACCAGGCAGCAGGTCATGGGGTCCTCATCCAAGGCTCTGGCACTGACTTGCTGTGCTGCTCTAGACAGGTCACTTAACCTGTCTGCATCTGTTTCTGCCTCTGAAGCAGGAATCAACTGGACTGCTGATCCCTAACAGTTCTTCTGGCTCTTGCATTCCGTGACTCTAAATGTTGCTAAATCACACCAGGTACGATGTTATTGCCTAGAATTTGACACTGATTCAACATTATTTTGTTTTAAAATAATGGGATAAATGGAGAGAAAAAGACTAAAGGATGTAAAATTTCCCCTGGGAATGAGATCTAACAGCTCCCTCCTGCACTGACTTCCCTGAAACTGTGGCTAACAACTCAACTATCTCTCTGCTTCCAATATTTGTTCAGAATCTACCAGAGCATGTAGCTTTCATGCCCAGGGTCCTCAGCAGTCCTCTGCCCCTGCCGGGCTCACACTTCATGCCTCCTGCACACAGGCAAGTGCAGTCCCTGTGTATGCTGTGTGTGTACTTTTCTCTGATGGAGCCCAGCAAGGAGGAAAGCCAGCGGGTCCAGCCTGCCAAACTCCAGCCAGACCCTCTGGGCTTCACCTGCAGTGATTCTGGTCCATGTCCCAGAATTCTGAAGCCAAACTGGATTCAGTCTGAGCCACCAGTAACTTGGGGGTGACTGGAGGGTCAGCAACGCACAGAACAAAACATTTTAGATTCTTTCTCTGCCTAGCCTAGCAGTTTAGAAAAACCTCATCCAAGGAATACTGGACCTTTAGTTGGAAGAACTAGAGCCCCAGCTCTGCTTCTGTGCTCCCTACATTGCTCTGTCTCTGGGCTAGGTAGGTTTTGGGTTCGACAATGAAAATCCAGAAATATGTGTTTGTTGATCATACCAATTGAACATAGGCCAAATACAGAAAGACTTTTAAAATTAACTTTTTTACTATTTATGCTATTTTTCTATTCCAGCCAATAGGGATAATTGATTCATCAAACCTCTAGCTTTACCAGTAGCCAAAGACACATTATTACATTTACTGACAGCCAATGCCTAATAGAGATTTCTGTAAAGCACCTAGAATGAGATTCTAGAGCTGCAAACAACAGCAATGGATATTATTAAACCCAAACAAGTCTGCACATTTCATGCAGCAATGACAGTTGTATAAGTAAGGCTTCAGCAACAACGTAGGCCTAAAATAAGCTATTTGAATGGGAATTAAGTGAGACCCTTAGAGAACACCAGCCCTAAAAAATTAGCAATGTGATGTTTTAATAGCAGAGTGGAATCTAATACTCTATCTCACTTTCAGTCCTGGCTAAACATATAAAATATCTTAAGGACATGTTTTACTCCCCTTAGAATGTTACTTTTCTCTGGGTCTTTACAGCTCTAAAAGTTTTAGCTATCATTCTGTGAGTCAAACTATGTATACATATTGTTAAGTTCTTACACTTTAAAAAGTGACATTTTAAAAATTGGCAACGAAAAAAATTGGCAATGAATATATTTTCCCTCAAATTTCTTCTTTTCTGATCTAACTTCTTGCTTCCTCCCATCCCCTCCAAAAAACAAAAACAACAACAATAACAAAAAACTCTCCTCCCACGAGTGACATCTCTGCAGTTATATATTTACTTTCTTTCTCCTTCACTGGCATGTAAGCTCCATGAGGACAGGAGCTTTGTCTTGTTCAACAATGTGTCCTCTGCACTAAAACAGTGCCTGACATCCAGCAGCCATTCAATAAATTTTGTTAAATGAATTGATTACTCTTGGGAAAATTTACATCTCAATACCCAACTCCAAGAAAAGCTGGAAAATTCAAGGTGAAATTGAATTGTCATTATTAAACTACATTAGTGTTATTTGTTAAATGAATTGATTACTCTTGGGAAAATTTACATCTCAATACCCAACCCCAAGAAAAGCTGGAAAATTCAAGGTGAAATTGAATTGTCATTATTAAACTACATTAGTGTTTCTCAAACAGTAGTGTACCAAAGAGTCATTGGAGGCACTTGTTAAAATACAGATTCCTGCCTGCCTCCCCCTTCCACCACTTCTGATTCAGTAGGTCTGCAAGTGGCTTGGGAATCTACATCTTTTTTTTTTTTTTTAAAGATGACGGGTAAGGGGATCTTAACACTTGACTTGGTGGTGTCAGCACCGTGCTCTCCCAAGTGAGCTAACCGGCCATCCCTATATAGGGATCCGAATCCATGGCCTTGGTGTTAACAGCACCACACTCTCCCAAGTGAGCCATGGGCCGGCTCCAGAATCTGCATTTTTGGGCAAACATCCCAGTTCTTTCTGGTAGAGGCAGTCTGGGCACCATGCTTTCGGAAATGCTGACCTGGACCCATAGTTAAACTACAGCAGGTATAATGGTCAGAGGGTCGGGGAATGAGAAGGCTACAAGGGATCATGGGAGCATATTTAGTCCAATCTCTTCACACAGATGAGGAAACTGAGGCCCACAGAGGGGAAGAAACAGAAATCATCTAGTGAGTTGGTGGCAATTTGAGAGGGTCTTCCAAGAAGCTTCATGAAATCACTCTTTAAACAGTCCTTACACTGCTTACTTTGTAGGCCTAACATGTGGTGAGCCACATTGTTTCTTTGGCTATCTTGTTAACACACTGAAATGTCATTTACTGGTACTTGGTTTTATCTGAGCAGTACCTCATACATTTGCAGTCTCTTACTACACTAAGTGGCACCATTTACCAGAAAACATCCGAGCGTGTTGCAAAATACTTGAAATGACCAACTAATGAGGACATTAAGTCTATTTTCTCATTAGTAATTATGCAGGCTCTGAAGCCAAGCCCAGTATCTATGTATACTTGCATTGCTAAATTAAAAGCAACTGTGGGGCAGAGAATAGCAACATTTCAAGGAGAAACAAATCAAACGTGACATGTTTTGACTGCACCAATGTACAATGATCTGAGTTCACTTTCGAGGGAGAGAAGTTTGGCCCAAAGGAGGAGTGAAGGTCCTAGAGCCAGGAACACTTCACAGAGCCCAGGAGCTCTCTTTCTGGCCTCTAAAACACTCATTCCCTCTGTGACTTGGAACAAAACCCCTGTGCCTCCCTTTCCTTAAAAACCACTCACTTACTACCTTAAAGGCACATAGGCTGATATGTGAAGATTAAAACACACCAGTTTGGCAGACATTTTCTCTTTTCTCTATTGACCTGATTCACTGGGGAAACTAGCACCTTTAATAAACTGTATTGGTCAAATCAACTCTCGGACTCAAACTTGACAGGGCGAATTCTTATATAAAATGTAATAAATTATGGATACACACTAAAATGTTAACATTGGTTACTGCTGAGGAGTAGGATTAGGTGGGTATAAATGAAGAGGAGACATTTGTTTTTCATCTTATCCACTTCTAAATGGTTTGCTTTTTTTTTTTTAAAATGTAATTTTGGATCTCATCCTAGTTCTGTCCCTGACCTTAGGCAAGCTGGTTAACCTCTTTAAGCCTTAATTCACTCCTCTGAAAATATGGGGGTTGGATTAGATGATCTCAAGGTCACCTCCAGTTCTATGAATTTGTGAATATAGAAATTTAAGGGGAAGGTATTATGAAATTTGAATCTCAGTGAACAACAGTCTTAAGAAAACTACTAAACCCATACATTATATCATACAAAGCTGTGGGCTTAAGTGAAACTATGTAAGAATATGTGTGATGGTGCCTGGTTCAAAGTAGGATTCAATAAATTTGTTTTGTTTCATTCATTTTATGTGCTAATGTTTTAATAGAGAACAAAGCAAGTTCAACCTTGTTAAATAGCAAGTTACTTAACGACACGTATTCTTATATGTATACATATATATAAGCACTTGTAATTAGGGACAATAAAGTAAACCTCAAAATCATAAAATATGAAGAGTTGTAAGGGATTTAATGTAATCCAAAATAACCTTTCCCCATGTGAGAAATCCTGTTACATGTTCTCCTTAATTCTTGTGTTGATGAACTCACACTTTCATAGCTTCTTCCTCCAGATCTGCCCTTGGGGCAATAGTCCTTTTTTCCACAGGGTAAAAAAGTGACCTAACCCCACCAAATCTCTCCCTTCCTGTCTATATATTTCCATTTCCTCCAATTATCCCTCACAAGTTTCCCAAAACAGTGTATCTACCTCCCTATTAAATCCCAGCTTGGAGTTGATTCAATCCTCAAAGTGTGGACTGAAAAGACAGACTATCACCATAGTTCTAGTCCCATACTTCCACTACTGCAGTGTAAGGTAATATAACATCTCTCCCTGCTTCTATCACACATATTCTTTGTTGGTTCATATTGAGTGTGTATGGAATAAACTCCCGAGATCTTCTTAATATGAACCACTGACAAGCCAAGGCTCTCCCGTTTTTTTAGAATTCTAAATGCTGAGCTTCACATTTATTTTTGTTAACTTTCTTCATGATGGTTTCAGCCCTTCCTGTTCCAACCTGTCGAGATCACTCTGAATGTTGATACTGACATCCATCATATTAGCGATCCCTCCCAGCTTTCTGTCATCTGCAAATGTGATCAGCATGCTCCTATTCCTTCATCCAAGTTTTTGATGAAAACTCACTGTATTTTTTAAAAAGTCTTTTAATTTAGTTGATTTTGGTCCAATTTTTGATAATTTTGTAAAGCTATCTAAAAGCAGGAGAATCCAAGCTATGAGGTTCAACCTGATTCCAAAACAATGCAATTAAAATAAATATGCTTTGCAAAATTGAGCCAGGCCCCAGAGGTAGTATCAATGTGACCTAGACTCTGGCATGGTCAATCTGCTATTTTGGACAAAGCTAACAATTAAATTGGATAAATGTTTGTTGATGAGGATGGCGACTCTGGACTAACAGACGGGATGGTGCAGAGGCAAGCAAACACACTGAATTGATTTTTCAATGTGGAGACAGTTCCCAGCTGGGACAACTAAAAGTGCCGGAGAGGGTTTGCCATTGAATGACTAATTAGGCCATGTAGACTGATAATTGGATAATTTGGGGCTAAAAAATCACTTTTAGGGCTTAATTCTCTGGATTGACCATCAATAGGGATTTCAAATGCCCTGGAACGATGTTAGATTGTGTGCTATAGCCTTAGACTAGGCAGTGCCCAGAAGCTTCATGAATTCAGAGGAATTGCACAAGGAGAAGCCAGGGGTACTTCAGGGAGGAGTCTTCATTACCAAGTAATTTTCTAGCACCCACTGTCACTAAACCAGAGAGGCAGTGAAGCTTGGTTTTTAGGAGCACAGACTTTGAGTTCAATACACTTGGCTCCTAATTCTATCTCTGATGTATGTTAGCTATATGACTTTGGGTCTCTCCAGTTATAATTTCCTCATCTGTGAAATAGAGATGATTATATTTACCTTAATGGTGTTGCTGCGCGGTATCTAACATGTATGATGTTGATACTCATTAGTACATTCAGCAAAAGGCAGAATAAGAAAGTTTGGTCATGGAGATAACATATAGGGCACTGTGCTAAAGTTTTGACAAGTATCATCATACTTAATCTTCACAAACAACCCCAGGAAGTACATATTATTATTACCTCATAACACAGATGAGGAAAATGAGGCATTAAAAGGATTAATCAGTTGCTCAAGGTCACCCAGCTAGTAAATGATAGTGTTGAGATTTTCATCCAGGCTTGCATGATTCCAAAGACTAAGCCCTTAAGCTCTACATTATTCTGTTATACTATTATTTGAGTATTAATTTTAGTCAGGAGATATTACTTGTAATCAGAATAAGAGTCCTCAACCTTTGGTGCTAAGGATCTACCATGCTTCTCATAGGAAGTCTTGTGATCAGGTGCAGAAAGGAGGCTTCACAGCCTATAATGAGGGCGGGAATGAGGGAAAGAGGATCACAGCAGGTACACCAATCATTTCTGTCAACACTGTAACCTAAAAGAAGGGCACATAGCAGAGGCACTCACACTCTTTGCCAGCCATTCAACCAGAAGCTTGAAATGCTGATTAGACCTGAGGAGGGCAACCTGGTAGTAGCTGCCAAGTCAGATCAACCAACTGGGGACCCCTGGACTGGTCCCTTTATCTGTGTACAAGCTGCGTTTCTGTTTTCCTGTCTTTGAGTAAGGAAATGATCTCTAGTTCATGGTTGTTTAAAGGATTAAATGAGACAATATACCATATGTCTAGTATGTAGAAATTGCTCAATAATATGATCTTCCCTTCCTTTCCCTCTTTGGTGATACCCTCTAGAAGTTTGCTTTTCCAGTCCTTTTAAAACCTGCCTTACAGAACTGTTTATACATTTGCTCAGAAAATCCTTTCCCATGGCTCTTCTCTGTGCTATCCAGATTTTGGAGGAATTTGCAAAGTTCAAGCTGATGAGATTTTCCTATATCCCATATGAAATAAAAATGTTGATATGTTTTGGTTGACTTGAATAACACCAGTAATTATTTATGATTTTCAAAACATTTTCACAACCATCATTCTTGTGTGATTGATGTTCAAAACACCCCTCTGAGGTTAAATATTGTAATCATCTCCACTGCAGGGATGAGAAAGCCAAGAGCAGGAGCCAGGTGACACAGGCAAGAAGCAGAAGCAGTGTTCCATCCCTGGCCTCCTCACATCTCCCGATGTCAAGGCCAGAACTCGCTTCTCTCCATCAATGGTCTAATCCCTCTTAATAAGCAGCAGGTCAATCAATGCCTATGCAATTGGGTAAACTGCTTGAGGATAACTTGAGGCTCACCCAGATGGTTTGATCACAATATGGAAAAACTAATAGTCACTTTGTCTAAACCATGAAAAAATCTACAATTTGTAGTTCACTTGTGCAGATTTTCATGGGCACAACCACCAGGAGTCCTACAACAATGGGTATCACAGGTGCAGCACTGTCAGGGTCATTTGCTACGGCATTTAGAAACTCAATAAGGCAAAAATTATTCAGTGCAACGGATGTACTGAATTGCTAAATGAAGTGAGGAATATAGAAAAGGAATGAAAATGGCCTAGCACAGTGCCAGGCACAAAGTCATTCAATCAACTCTTATTACTAGTATCATGAATAGAGACACCAATTATTCATTTGAAATCAGGGTATCATAAAACTTACTCTGGAATAATCAAGATCTCTGGGTGTGGAGTCTGTTAAAGCTCGGACAAGGGCATTCATCATACAGATCGGAGGAGAAGGTGGAGAGGGCTGAGAAGGTTCCTGTTGTAATGGGCTCTTTGGTTTGGAAGGCAGCCGACCTCTCCTTCCTTTTAGACTATCTGTACGGACAACTGATGCCGAGAGAGAAAAAAAAAATCTTCAAAGATTATGTTACGAATAGCTATAAATCACAAAAAGGAATCAAAACACATTACAGTTGAGCAATCAATAACGAGACCAAACATTTAAAAGTGGCAATAAGTGTGGAATAATATTCACACAATGATTTAATGAGTTAAAACAAGGATCATAAAAACCACCCCATTCTTACATTTGGTAACGAATTAGCCCTGACAAGTCTCCTTAAATAGAACAAAGATGTACGTACACAAGCTTTCTATTGATTTTGAGAAATTAGAATAAGTAGTCCTTGGTTATTTTTAAATGTAAACATATACTATAAAAAATAAAATGTGAAAAGGAAAGAGGAACTAGGAAAATTCACCATCCCAATGTAAATATTAACATTTTTTTTTCAGTGCTATTCGAGAATACACATAAGCAAACTGGATAGAAAGCATTATATGCATACCTTCTTTAACCATTCCAACACTGAGACACTTCTGAAATCGACAGTACTGACATCGGTTTCGACGTCTCTTGTCTACTGGGCAGTTTTTATTTGCCAGGCAAACATATTTTGCATTTTTCTGCACCGTTCTCTGAGAAAATACAATACAGAGATAGTCAACTAATAGTTTCTGGAAAGAGGTAGGACCTGACAAGATGTATTTTAATTACAATGTGAAAAGCGACAGTGCAATTCGTATAATTCGATAAATTTAATTTCCTAACACGCTAGCCTGCAGGAAAAACAATTTTATTAGTGTTAGCTGCTGACAATGAAAATCATCTTGGATTGTTCTGAAGCAAGTCTCAGGAGACACCCAACTCTGAATGATAAAATCATATCTGAAATTACCAGGTCAACATATCATACCTTGGAGGATTAGATTATCTCCACTTTTAATATCCCTTTGGGAACAATTTTCTACTTGTTCCACTCCCCTGATTATTGCTGACCTTATTAAAATAAAATCAAAATTATCTGGGATGTACTTTGTTTGCTATCACGATTGTAAGTCAAATATCACAGTAACTGCCTTTGTTACTCAGTAGAGATGAAATCATAAAACACAAAATCAGGATTTGTCTAGTTAAAACATATAGAAAATAATGTTTTAATGCAAAAAAAAAAAGAAAATCACTTAGCCTGTGTAGTTTATCTTTAAAGAATACATATGGTAAATAGGCCATTTATGATTTTTGAAAGCAAAATCTTAAAACCGGATACTAAAAATCACTATCACATCCAAGAAAGGAAGAAAACCCAAAAGACAAAAGAGAATGAGAGAAAGACATATGAGAGCCATATATTTTTAGTGAAAATTTCCACTAGTAGGTCATTTCATAAACAACTATTGACAGACACCAAAATAGCCATATTGTAAAAACACATCATAAAACTTGGGCTTGCATATAAAAAAAAGTTGTATTTTTTAGAATCACATTAAATTTTAAAATGACACATGGAGAAATAAATATACTTTATGCTCAAATTTAAAAGAATGCTTATCTTTTTAAATTGGAAACATTTGTGCAAATGGATGTATTTTGCCACTTAGGGTGAAATCGTTTAAAAATTACCTGGATCTAGACAAGTCCAAATAGAGCAGAAAATTGGAATTTATTTGGGAAGCCTGGGATGCATTAAAAACAAAAACAAAAACAAAAGACAGAAAGAAAAAAAAATCCAGGTAACTTGGGCTCTGTTCTATTTTGTGCTCGAAAGTCTAGATTTACTTTCAACCTTTACTTTTAGTCATCCTCAACCCCCATGTTTCAGTTTTCACCCTATCACTTATTAATTTCATTTTAGGGAATAGTTTCTAAATTGCTTACATAAAACTTAAAAAATATAACAAAGCCAACCTATCTCAAGTCTAAGACTTATTTCTCCTGCTTTAAGTAGGTGATTATAGTTTAAAATGCACAATTCTGAAACACAAAAATACTTCTGAGTTTCCAGCATTTACATTCTCAGCAGTCTGTAAGGGTAGGAAACTTGTGTTTCCTGAATGAATCTTTCATTGAACGTGAAGTAATTTCTAACACTCTATTTCTTGCCATCATTCTGAAGGCTATATGCCAATTTGGGTGCTGGTGGCATTTTATTTCAGGTATACATTTGCCCAATAACCTCAAGCCTTCCCCACATTTGTGTGTGCCTGCACAGTTTAAGGACAGGGAGAGATCGTTATGGTTCAATCACCGAATTCCCATCATTAACTGCACTTCATGTCACATTTTTAAAGAATTCAATTTAATGGTAGAAAGCCACTGGGTAAAACCTGCTCTGGTTCCCTTAATTAACAGATCTGTGGGGTGGTTCTTCCCCAGCCTGCCCCCACCCTTTCAAGTATAGATTTGTTTTCAAGGGATTGCTGCAGAAAAGGAAAGCTGTTGGGGAACACTTAATTGACATTTCTAGACTCGGAATGTATTCCCACTCCTGTATTTTGGTCAACTCTCACTTATTTAGGGGTGATTACATTTATGGATTATTCATAATTTTCTTAATTGTTTTTCTTTCTTTTCCCCCTTTCTGCTGCCAGTTTCATTATCCTTCAGCATTTCCACTGAAATGCTGTAAAAATCAGATCTGGTAAAGGAATGTAGTTACTTGAAAGTAGCCCTGGTAAAGCTGAGTAGTTGAGAGAGGAAAAAAATGGCTAAACACAATGGCTAACAAACAAATGAACAAAAAAGAGCTAAGGTTCTGCATTTAAAACATCATAATCCTGCATACTTGCAGGGCATTTTACATATTGCAAAGTCTTTCCATAAGCATTTTCTCATTTTTCTGCAGAATTCAAGTAATGACTTGGTTACTACTCCAAGATAAAAAATAACTGTTGCTTTTTGGTATGTATACCCATCCACAAACATGTGCATTTTTTACAAATACTTTGTACTTTACATTTAATAATAAACTATTGCTCTATGGCCCTTTGAAGATTATAAAGTGCTTTCATATATGCTTTGATCTCATTTAATACAGCCCTTCTCTTTTATTCACCAGTAGGCCTAGAAAGAAGTGTCATGCCCAACATCACACAATTAGTAGATGACAGATCCAGGACTCCTATTTGAGTCTTCTGACTCCATTTCCAGCATGCTCCCAGATTGGCCTCCCAAATCCTAGTTACCCAATCAGCATCCTCATTCCCCTTTCCCTCTACCCCACCCAGCACTGGAGGTTAGGGAGTGACTTGTGTGGGTTTGTAAATGCCTGAAATAATGGCCACGGGGGTGGGGAGTGAGGAGGATGGCAGAGAAGTCACTATCTGAAGAAGTCTGGGAATCAATAGCAAAAGGTAGAGCAGCAAGAGAGCAAGCCTCTTCCTCCTGGGTGGTGGAAAGTGCACTGAACTCAGGAGTCAGGAGAAACCAGCTGGAACCATCCCACGTGCAGCTAAATCACTGCTTACAGCCTGCACAAGGCTTCATCTCACTGGGCTTCAGCTTCCCCATGCATAAAATATGGAGCAGGCTGGTGACCTTTCCACTGTGAAATTCTCCTTTAGGTCTACGAGAGAATGGACAACGTGTACATCTGGCACTGTGCGTGGCATAGAGGTGAAGGAGGATTCCTAGAGGATGGAGTGGATTGGTAAGACCCCAACTTCTATCTCCTATGGAAGGAGCTGCCCCAAACTGCATGGAGCCAGTTGCCCCCGTGCATTCTGGCACTGCAGAGCTGTGAAAAGGGCGTGTAACTTTGGGGTCACAAGAACACGAGTTGGTATCCTGCCTCCTTCTCTCCAAATGTGTGTGCTGGGACAACTGAATAACCTCTTAGTGTCCATTTCCTCATCTATGAAACAAAGATAATTAGTATCTGCCTTCAAGACACTGTTAATAAAAACAGCTAGTGAGTGGTCAGAATTCAATCTCAGGTTTGTCTTATTCTAGAGTACCAGCTCTTACTGTGAGGATTAAAGGAGACACAATTGTCCAGGGCCTGGCAGACAGACTCTATCCCCTCAGACAGCCCGGATGACAAACAAGGAATGCAATGAGGTTTTTGCATTTTTGAAGTCACATATCCTTTTGAGAATCTGCTGAAAGCTCTCTCCAGAAATATGCTCATGAGGCAATGGCAGTTCAGGAGGTTCACAGACTTCAGAGGTCTGTGAACCTCCTGAACTGTCCATCTGGGATGGCATCCTGCACATGAACCTCAAGTTAAACCCTCCCTGAGAAAATGGATGTGAAGGTGCTAGGAAAAGCGATAAGAACGCATAGTGTAACAGTTACTCCTCTAGAATCTGGAAGGACAAGGATCGGGCTTAAATGCCGGCTGCCGCGGGGGTGCTGGCTGCGCAGCGGGGGCGGCGCGAGGAGGAGGCGTGCGCTCACCTTGAAGAAGCCCTTGCAGCCCTCACAGGTGCGCACACCGTAGTGCTGGCAGGCAGCGTTGTCCCCGCACACGGCGCACGTGCCCTCGCCCGACGACGAGCTCCTGTTGGGCGGCGACGGCAGGGGCAGGCTGGGACTCTCGCCCAGCAGGCTGGACGCGGTAGGGGAGGCCGTGAGGCCGAGCGGCGGGAAGGCCAGCGCGGCCGCCCTCTTGGCCAGCGGCAGCCCGTACGGGTGGCCCTCAAGCGCGGCGGCCTGGCTGCCGGCGGCGGCGGCGGCACCCAGCGGCAGGCTCAGGGCGGCGGCGGCCGTCGGGCGG